ACTCAAGCCCGACCACTACGTCAAGGTGGAAGCTTTAGGTCGGGGTGCTACAGCTGAACGATTATTACAGACCTAATCCACCATATATGCAGGGGAAAATGGCCTTGGATGTCGCTACCCTGAAAACCAGGTCTGTTCTACAAGTTCCATGGAAAGACTTTGAGGAGGTCGCGGGAAAATGCATTATAGGAGGAATTGTTCGCTGCACAAAGAAATTCGCTTCATTAGACAGTTTAAAACGGAAATCAAGACAACACGTTGGACTATGTTTTGCTTTTAAAGTTACTTTGTTACGGATGGACTGAGTTGGTTTTTCTTCACTTGTTTGTTCTGTTTAAAAAAATGACACTTACAGTGCACGAGTGCCCCGACAGTCGCGAGCTTGCCGACTCAGTACAAAAGACTTTATAACACCCTTACCACGGAGACTAAACTCTATGCACCAGACCGTATTCAGTTACTGAACCTGATAGGAAGGAGACAATGGGATTTAACGATCGACAACGCTCTCGAACGTACAGGTGACGAGCTGTGTCGGACTCTCAAAGCACACTGTTCGGTTGTGACGTGTTTCTCTGCATGATACGTTGTTGCTGCCTTTTGCAGCACCTTTTGCGAGCCCAACTAACAGTCTCCGCTAGACAATGATGTACATGCTGAGTACAGTACAGAGGGCCATACCAGATGATAATGTCAAATTAGCTCTTCTTGAGGGCTTTCGCCAATCGGCAAGCATTTTCGTTATAGCCTGGACGAAATATGCAACACGAACCTGCTTGGATATCGTAATATGTACTGACTTTGATTCGTCTACATTTTCCTTTGTAATCATTGCGTCGCGCTGGGGCAAAAAAGCATGGAAGAAAAGTAGTAAGATGGTATGCATAAGAGAAGCGGTCACTAATGGATGTTATGTCAGAAGCGTGTCGGCCGACGAAAATGTCGACTAATGCAGGACCACAGGCGCGGAATGGTGAACTTAAATAAAATCGCAAGAGTGTAGGCACTGAGGGGTCTCGTAGTGAAAGATTAGCTATGTTAGAGATTGATAAAGGTGGTTAAGACAAACACAACAGTGTAAACGCAAAAAATGGCCGTTCTAAAGGTGTAAACAACCAGAGATATCATGCATCATTGGAGACATGAAACTGTACTGAAATGAGTGAGTAGTTCTAACTTGAAAACCCTGGTAGTTGGAAGTTACTCAACCGTACTTGTACGACACGCCACCATCCAGAAGTAGTGCTTGAGAGTTCGAGAGCACTCACCGATAAAGCATTGAGCGTAAAATCTCTGTTGTCATAATTAACACCGTTGCTTCCGGGTTGATTGTGATATCTCCAGTCATCAGCCCGACATCTTTGAATTCCGCAGTAAATTCCCGGAATTTCTGATTACTCAGAGCCTGGTGTTGTGTTGTCATAATTAACACCGTTGCTTCCGGGTTGATTGTGATATCTCCAGTCATCAGCCCGACATCTTTGAATTCCGCAGTAAATTCCCGGAATTTCTGATTACTCAGAGCCTTAATAGGTGTTGTGTAGATGACCCGTTGGCGTCTCTTCAAACTCCTAGCAACTGCATACCTGTAGGTTGGTGGTAGAAATCAAGGAATTTGAGATTGGCTTACTCGGCGACAACAGTTTTGCCAGCAGATGTGTGGGCAGAAACGAGAACAGATTGCCCGTTATCAATACACAAAATGGCTTGTTGTTGAAAAGGATCTAGAGTGAAAGGATAAGTTTTCGGCATGTCCCCGATTGGAACCAAGGGTTTTAGGAGCTCGTTAGCCGGATACACGACCTAGAATCAAGGCAAACAGTAGGGAAACTGATTACTTCATGCAAGCAACCCTGTCCGGAGCTCACTATAGAGGTTTGACATCTGAATACAGCTCGGGAGCGTTTGGCCGGCTCTGATGTGATTGAAGCCTCTTTAGGGTCGTACGAACGCTTCGCTGAAACAGATCTGTGACCCAAGTAGATCGAGTGTTATGAACTCACACCGGCTATGTGTAGATTTTTCAGTATCTTTTGGTGCAAAAGATTCTTCTAACTCATCGAGATCAAGGTCCCAAGAAACCATCGTTACGTTGTCTGAAAGCAGGTAAAGGTGAAAATTATCTCTCAAGCATATTGTTATTCAGCTCAACAAAAAACTGCGTACAAGTCATGCAACAGCTCACAGTCTTCAAACTCTTGACCACTGGCGTTACCGTATCATAACTAGTTAGGTAGCTGTAGCGATTACGCAAAAAGGTGTGCGTAAGCGGGAGCTTAGTAGCAAACCCAAATCGTCAGAGCGGCAGAGTAAACTTACCTATTTTAGGTGGTTATGGCATATCTAACATAGGCCCAACCACCGTCTACCGAAGGGAGCACCAGGGGGAGTTCCAAGACTTCCTTGGCGAAAAGTTCGCAGGGGACATGAAATGGCAGTGTCAAACTAAACAGGATACAATCAAACTGAGTGCTGTGAGGTTTTCATGCTTTCCTGGCTGCAAATCGTTCAGCTTAACACCATTTCGGTGTCTAGCTGCCATGCCACCCTAAGGAATCACGAGGGCTGGTTTACTGACAGAATGCGCAAGCCTAGACGGGAAGTCAAGAGGCAAAGGTCAAGTGCGAACCACGGATCTTCCGGCCAGTAAATTTGTGCTCTAATCACTTGAGCCGTCTCGTTCATCTTGGCTGCAACAAGTGATACAAAACCTTGCAAGACATGGTACCCAACCGATCCCCGTGGCACAATTGTTGCCCAGCTAGTTCGCCTACTGTTAAGCTCATGGCTTGTTTACGAGGAAGGAGGCAAACAACACAGCTGATGACGCATTGTTTTGACATGTTGCCCAGATTTGTCTAGATTAGTCCTATCCTTGTTTACAAACGTCCCTCTCGAGGACATGGGGTTTCACTAAACGAAGTCTATGCATTCTGCACCGATGTTCTTCTCTTTCATCGTTGCATGGCAACTGAGCACCAGTATCTATTACTGGTGTATTGCTGTCAGTATCTATGTTATTTTTAATGCAGCTCTGGGTAGTGACATTGGAACCCCAAAATGTTTCGGAAATAAGCGAATGATTTTTGCTCCTCAAGCGTCGCCGAGCTGTCGGTCTTGACAAACCCCCTTCAGCTCAGCTCAAAAAAGGAAGTGAAATCCTCAATCGACGCTTGTCAAATTTATGTGGCTCTCTTGTAAAAAAAGATTGTCCAGACCAACTGGGGTGAACCCCAAATTTCAAAAAGTGCTCGAAGTGTGTGGCTATCACAAAGGAACCCACGTTGCAACGAGACTCTTTGCACCACTTGGTTTTCATCGGCTTACAACGGCAATTGAAGGCAGGACCGGAGAGCAGTAGGCAGGATTCCAGTCGGGAAGGGAAGGTGTAGACCACAATTTCCCACCCCAAGTGTTAGACTAACGGTGTGCGTACAGACGCCCTTCAGTCGTGTGTTCCTTGACTTCGAAAATACATACAGTCTGTGGTGCTACCTGACTGGGAAGTAGGGTGTGGCGGGTCAATCGATCGACCCAACCAAGGCAGGTTACTAGGTAGTCGTTCAAGTCGTCGGGCGTTCCGCTCACATCGCTTAAACGTGATTATGTTCACCTGCGCAAACGTAAAAATTCGGATGAGACCAGTGTGCACTGGCGGAGTAATGGTAACATGCTCACCTGTAAGATGCGCTGAGTTCAAAACCCGGAAGGGTAAGTGGACATGTTGATGAGCTCTAATAAGATCGAAACTCGAGTCCATTGCTCCCCCCTTTGATGTGGACTCACCAGAATGATTGCGCCAAAACAGGAGGATGATTGGTCAGACAAGAGTCACATGAGTGTGTATTCTACAAAATCCCAGAACCACCATGCAACTTTTCGTGATGCAGTGACTCAAATCCCGCTACGTAGAACAACTTTCCTCCTCAGCGCAGTCAACCGTTGCCCCTCCAACCAACCAGATCAGTTGCTCATAAAAACCACTTCAAGAATCTCCTGCCGGTAGGTGACTAAAAAGCTCCCAAGGCCTCCTGGATGGAGCTCCAGCGCATCGGGTCTAATGGACATTTTGCATTCGCCTTGGTCATAGGCGTTCAGCAGAGCTCTTGCACTCAACAAGTCGTCGCACCCACAGGATACCGCGCAGGCCATTTACCATCCATGCTGGATTTCGTTATCACTAACGAAAGACATTTCGTTGGTAAAGTGTAAATGAAGACTCCACTAGGATATAGTGACCACTGTGTGCTGACCTTTGATTTCATCTGCTACTGGGCGAGGAAAACTTAAACGTGGATTCGAAACTTCTACTTCTCAGGAATGGGAAGCTTCTTTGACCAAATGGGACCAGATTCAGTGGAGGAGACGTACACGACCATTATCCCGAAAATCCACGAGGCTGACACGGTGTTCGTACCAAAAAGACCAAGGCACACTCCAATGGACAAAAAGACAATCGTTCAGCATCATCATCATCATTATCCGCTGTAATAACCGCGTACTGGTCGTACACTGGTTGTAGCTGCCACAGTTTCGTTCACCGATGATTGGGGGGGGGGGGGCTGC